GTTTCTGAGCTAATGCTTAAAGATCTAGCACAGACTGACCCCGACACCGGGACACAAAATCTTGCACTGTATAATGGCTTCATTTGTTTGTTTGTTTTTTTGAAGCTCAGCACTGCCTTGATGGAAACGGTAAATTAATTGACAGGCGCACACAAAAAGTAGAATATGGGTACCAAACCCCTCGACTTCGTATCACAATTGAGCCCAAATTCTCTGTTGCTAACCAAGATAGTGAAGTGAGTTTTGCCCCATTTTAGGGCCTTTCTTGCCCCAGTTGCTAAGTGAATAACTGTAGCGATTAAGATTTACTTTTGCGCTGGTTACGTCAATCTGGCTTCTCCACTGACTTTGCTTGCGGTGTCCCCAGGGTCACGTGATTTCTCCCTTTGCGGCCTTCTGACAAGCAAAGTCAACGGGAGATGCCAGATTCGCTTAACAACTGTGTTACCAACTTAACAGAAGCAGCGATTCACTTAACATCTGTGGCAGGAAAGGTCGTAAAGTGGAGCAAAACTCACTTAACCATTAGCAACAGATATTTTAGGCTTCACTGTGGCCCTAAGTCCTAAGGACTCTCTGTACCCAAGTGTCTTTTAGGGAAACAAAAACAACATCAATTTCATTGTATTTATTTTGTACAATGACAATAAAGACTATACTATAACAACCACCTTTTAGCTTCTATTGGGTCTTTACCAGCAGATCATGTGCAATGCTTCCCATCATTTGAGAGTGGGTGGGAATTGTTTTTACTTCGTCGTGAAGACTTAGCTTTTATTCCATGCTTTTGTGTGTTGACGCTGCCAATGTTGTACAACAGGGTTGTCAAACTCAATTTCATTGAGAGCTGCATCAGGGTTATCTTTGACCTGGGTGTGTGTGTGTGTGGCCAGGAGGGCATGGCCAGCTCGATGTCACTGGTGGTGCCTGTGATGGCCTGAGCACCCTTCCAGCGAAAACGGGCTCCTGAGCTTTGTTTTCGGCTGCGACGGCCTCCTGCAACCCTCTGCCACAGAAAAGCCGTGTGCAGCCCTCCCAAGCTCTGTTTTTGCTGGCAGAGGCGCCATGGGCCAGTCCTTTGCTGTTTTCAGGGCGGCCCCATGAGCCAGATCTAAGCACCCCATGGGCTGGATCCGGCCCCCGGGCCTTGAGTTTGACACCCCTGTTGTACAACAGTCATACCGTTCATTGAAATACGGTGAGAAGAAGATAGAAATAAATCCCTTGTCTGTCTCTGATTTGTCTTTTCTTTTAATACCAATTTTAACTCACTTAAGAATTTTCTTTTGTAAGTGTGGTAGCAGTGTCTCAGAGTGTCCTTGAAACATCTTGGATAGATGCTTATAATGCAAGTGACAAGGCGTTTATAAACATGTGCCTGGTTAATGAACTTGATTAGGGAGCTGTTGGAGGAGGAGAGTCATATTAGGCTAGTGTTTCTCAACTTTCGGAGGGGTGCTACGGCTGGCTAGGACATCCTGGGAGTTGAAGTTCATCAACTCTCATTGTGTTACCCAGTTTTCGGGTAATGAACCATCTGCAGGAAAACAACCAAGCTCAGAGAGTGCCAAGGACCCCTCATTTCAATCCTGAGCTATAAATATTCTCCTTTATGGAAAGTCCATCTATCTTGAACTTGCCAAGGTTGAAAGCACTGTGCTAGTCTTGGTAGCCAAGATTCAGAAAATCTGGTAGCATTTTCTGAGATTATTTTATTCAAGGCATGAGCTGGTGTTCACTTCATTAGATGCTCACTTACCAGTTAACAATCGTAAAGTATTAAGAGCTTATTGTGTTTTTTAAATCCTTCTGAGATGGCTTGAAACCTGTTTGATATGTAAACTCGTGCTGTTTCCCCTTCAGTTGTGCTGTCAAAAGTTCCTTTCTTCCAAAACTGCCCTTCGAAAATCTGTGTTGAAATGTCTTGGGAGATTAAAAATGCTGCTTTAACTCTGTTCCTATTTTGAATCTGATGTCGAACTGGTTAATGGTCTTGCACAACATCTGGGATGTTTGTCCTACATAGAATCTAGGGTGGCACTGCTGACAGATGATGGCAAGGATCACCTCAGATGGAGAGAATGTGAAAGTGCCTCTAGCTGTAGGTTACATGATTGGGACCTGGGATGGCACTATCGATGTAGATGTAGAGAGATGAAGTAGAGTAGCTGGGCCAGGGGTGGAAAACGATGGCCCTTTTATGACTTGTGGAATTCTGGGAGTTGAAGTCCACAAGTTATAAAGGAGCCATCATTCCCCACCTCTGAGCTAGGCGAAGGAGTTGGCTCTTGTGTCCTGTTGTTGCAAGAAAATTTGTGAGAATTTGCTTCAGATTGTGTGGTTGTCCACATACAAGTATGGACAGAACAGACAACCACCTACAGCATGGATGTCCAACCTTAGCAACTTTAAGATCTGTGGACTTCAACTCCCAGAACGCTGGCTGAGGAATTCTGGGAATTGAAGTCCCTAAGTCTTAAAGTTGCCATGGTTGGACATCCCTTATAACAGGGGTGTCAAACTCATCACCTTGTCGTCACGTGACATATCATGATTCCTCCCCTGCGCTAAACTGGGTGTGAGTGTGGTCGTGCATGATGCATCCAGCCCGTGGGCTGTGATTTGATACCCTGCCTTATATGAAATACTGGTTTGGATTTATTTAATTTAATTCATTTAATCTTTTAGGCTGTTTCTCATATGAAAAAAAATGTTTGCCTGAATATTAAAATAAACTTAGTTCTCATTGGGTCCATTGGCAAAGCAATTTAGTCAGGGAATAGTTCCTTGGAGTATATAAATTATAGTAATAAACCTTTTTTAAATTTTAGAAAATAGTTTTGACATGGTATTTACATTTATGTTGATGGCCCTCATTATCCTTTAGTCTTATTGTATGCAGCTTTGTATATTTATGGATGACTAGCTGATAACCCGCCGTTGCCCGGATATTTATTTATAGGGGGGAAATGTTAGGACCAAACGTAATTTCTAATGTTGGATTTTCCCCCTTATCAGAGGAAGCCCCCTTGTGAAGTACTATGAAGCCATTACTATGGCAACTCCACTGCACTGTATAGTAGAAACCATTATACAGCAGTGCAGTAGAAGCCATTTTAAGGCACACCAAGCTGTATCTTAACAGAACACATACTCCGAGGTGTGTTAGGGGTGTCTTAGCCCTGCAGTATTTTTTTTCAGAGAGTAAGTTATCTATGTACCAAGGATGTTGGGGAGGAACATGGGTCAGTTCTGGAGTCTGGGGAAGGCTCGGACGAGGGCTCTGCATCGGAGGCAGAGAGAGGGCCAGGGCCATCTGAGTGATATGTGCTGCCTCCGGAGTCTGACATCAGCGAGGCAAAGGAACAGGAAGAGCCTGTTCCCAGTGTGCACATGCACAGAGCTGCCAAAAGGCAAGAACAGTTAAGACATAAGAGGCGACTCGGGGGTAAGACTTGGAGATGATTGACCCCTCCCATAAGACATAAAATAGGAGAAAAGGCACTTGAGCCTTTGCAGGAAGCAATTTTGTTCATTCTGGTGGGTTCAAACTCTGAGAGTCCATTTGACTCTGTGCTCCGTTTGGCCTTGTAAAACTAATTGGCAATTAGGTCTCTGACAGCCTTTCAAGGGAGCTAAAGGTGGGTGCTTATCAGCCTTATCCTGAAAGACTGTGGCAGACTTCTGTCGGACTCTTCACAGACTGTTTGTGACTCATTACGGACTGTGAATGAACATAATTCACAGCCGCTTAAATAAAAAGAGGGGTTTTGGGACTAAGCGTGTGATTTTTACTGTCTCAGGAAGCCTAGGTCAGAACAGACACTTCATTACCCAAACTAGGTAACATCTTCAGCCCTTGAGTGTTAACTACTTTAGTAATGAGTTGGGAAGAGATGGACATGACTTAGCGACTAAACAATACCCACCTACATTAAGTCTGAGATTTCAAAGTTGGTTCACAGTCTTAGCTGGCGATGCCACTAGTGTTTGTCAAACTGTGTGCAGTGATGCCCTAGGGCGCTGCGGTGACGTCACTCACTGTTTTGTTTATTACATAGTAAGGTAATCCCACTGTGCCCCTATGGGTTTGTTGTGGTGTCGCAGTTTGGGAACCACAACATTAAACCCCGGTTTTTAGTGCTTCTGTTTCCCTTGGAACAACAGGGGACAAGTTAGTTCCTGGGGTTGCGTTTGTGGATTGCCAGAATAACATCAAGCATTGCTATTGTTAGTTTACTTGCAATTTAATTGAATGGGAGAGAGTATGTTTCCGTGGGGTAATTTTTCTTTTGTTTTGTTTTCTGAAATACTCATTAGTAATTAAAGATCATGGAACACAAATTAATTTTAAACAGTCCTGCCAAATATATTTTCCCTTAAGTGTTTTTAGAGTCCTCCCCCCCCTTTTTTTGAGGCCTCTTTTTCACTAATGTTCTGATTTCATCGTATTTTGAATCTAAAGACTGGATTGCCAATTTAGATAGCCAGATTCCTTTTCTCGATTATAACTTCAGGCTATTCAGATCTGAAAGCCCAGTACAGTTTCTTCAAATGTTGCTGAGAAATGATTTGGTGAAAGATGTGAGCGCTGCAAGATAGTGGAGATCCTAATTCTGAAGGATATGCGGCTTCTTCACATTCATTTTGCTATTCTCCTTTTGTACCATATTCCAAACTGGATTTTTGTTTTTAATCAAATGAGTTTTGGAAAGAAAGAAAGTCCTGATCATCTCCTGCTTTGATAACAATGTTAAACATACTTATTCATATGTAGTGTTTGCATTAATATGGAGGAGCAATGTGTAAGTCTAGGCAGGATCTGAGTCCTTTTTGTGTTATCTTACACAAAGTTCTTACAGCCATTCCTTTAGTGACTATTCAAGTTACAACTGCACTGAAAAAAGTGACTTATGACCATTTTTCACATGACTGTTGCAAAATCCCCTGGGTCATGTGATTAAAATTCAGGTGCTTGGCAGCTGGCATGTATTTATGATAGTTGCACTGTATGGTGTGTGTTTGTGTGTCCTGTGATCTATTTTGTGACTTCCCGATGAGGGGGAGGGAAGATTCTGTTAACAACTATGGTGCTGACTTCACAACTGCAGCGACTCATTTAACAACTATGACAAGAAAGGTCGTAAAAATGGGACAAAACTGACTTAACAAATATCCTGCTTAGGAACAGAAACTTTGGCCTCAATTAGGGCCACAAATCAAGGACTACTTATATCACTTTTAAAAAAAATCTTAATACCTACACTGGCAGTACAAGGTTTAATACTGCCACCATAGGGGACCCACAAATCTTATTGCTGTACTGGTGGTCCTCAGCTTACAACCATAATTGAGCCCAAAGTTTCTGTTGCTAAGTGAGACATTTGTTAAGTGAGTTTTGTCTCTTTTTTTACAACTTCTCTTATCACAGTTGTTAACTGAACCACTGCGGTTATTAAATTAGTTATATGGTAATTAAGTGAATCCTTTGCTTGTCAGAAAGTGGCAAGAGGTGATCACATGACTCTGGAACGTTGCAACCAGAAGTGGTATTCAGCTGGTTCGGACCGGTTCGCCCGACCCAGTAGTGGAAATCGCAGGTGGGCCCACCCACCCCCACCCCCACCCCCACCCCCACCCCCGGCTCTATGCTGTCCTATTTAGGCACTTTCTAAAGCCGCGCACATCTGTGCAAGCCGCACACGGGATCAAGGCGCATGCCCGGAAGGCTGAGTGCATGTGTGCACGGGACACGCATGCTCAAATTTGCGAACTGGTAGAGAGAGTAAGTGAATACCACCCCTGACTGCAACTGTCGTAAATATGAGTCAGTTGCCAAGCGCCTGAATTTTTATTGTGACCATGGGGATGCTTGCAACAGTTGTCAGTGTGAAAAGCAACCATAAGTCAGGTTTTTCAATGCCGCTGTAACTTTGAATGGTCACTAAAGGAACTGCTGTAACTGGAGGACTACCCATACTATAGTTTCTGATCAGCCACTTTAGACTGTGATTTGTTAAATGGTAGCCTCTTAAGAGTCTGCTCTCAACTCAGACATAATGGGTGCTTTAGGTCAGGTTGATAATTTTTTTAAGAGGCGCCCCTTTAAAAAAAAAAAATTGGCCAGCAACCTTCTTAGCATGGCGAACCTATGGCCTGAGGAGCCACATCTAAGGGCATGCAAGGCGATACCCTATGTCAACTCCAGCGCGCTGGCCAGCTGATTTTTGGCCTTCTAGAGGGTGGGGGGGAGGCCATTTTTGCCCTCTGTGGGCTTTAGAAAAGCCTCTGGAACTTGTGGATGGCGAAAAACAAGCCCAACGGGCCAACAGGAAGTTCGGAAACCAACGTCCGGTAGGCCTGTTGGGCTGTTTTTTGCCCTCCCCAGGTTCCGGAGGTTTTCCTGAAGCCTGGGGAAGGTGAAAAATGGCCTAAGGGGCCTATCGGAAGTCCGGAGGCTTCAGTGAGGCCTATGCGTGGGGTAGCGTGGGGTGTGTATGTTGTGTGTGCATGCGTGGGGGGGAGGGCATTGCATTATGGGTGTGGATGCCCTTTTGGCACCAGAGCAGAAAAAACGTTCACCATCACTGCCCTAGGGGGGCTAATTAACTTTTATTGTCTTCTGTTTCTTCTTTAGTGAGCACTTGTCTTGCTCGTTCACCTTCTTCTTGCACGGGGACAGCAACGTTTGCACCAGCGTGGAAATAAACCAGCATCAACCTGTGTACTTCCTGAGTGAGGAACATCTCACCCTCGCCCAGCAGTCCAACAGTCCTTTTCAAGGTAGGGTTTGTTTGCCTGACTACGAAAACGGAATCCTTCTTTTTTCCAAGCTTTTAAATAAAAATATTGTGTGTGGGGAGGGGGGGAAAACACAAGAGATGTTCATACATTGGGAGGACACCGGATGAGTTTCAGATTTTTGTCCTCCATGAACTTCTGTGCTTTGTTTGACATTTTGCTTTTTTTTTTTTTTCCATCTTGTCCAAGAAATTATCCATCATAGTAAACTTAAGCAGATGACGGTGGTTTGGGACTAAGTGTGCTTGTTTGCAGGTTATGTTTATTACGATACTTTGCATTTCACACATGCTATAATATGTAGGATGCTGTGTTGTTTATTTTATTTCTGTATCCTATTTTCTTCTGGAAGTAAAGTAATAAAAATCTGATATACCGTAAATCGTGCAATAAAACATATAATCCTTAAAAAAATCATTGTAAAAAGAATAACAATCTGGACAGTGTCTAAAAGATTGCTAATCCTTGAAAATGGACATCATATAAGCAAATATATGAGCTAGGTTGTCAGTGTTCCAAATATCATGCAGAATTAAATCAGAGTCTAACGCAATAGTATCCTTAAAGTTCCAATTTAATAAGTCAGACATGTTGGCACATCTGTGGAAATCCCAATTCTAAAGCTTCCTGGGATTCCACCCAGTTGGAAGTTCATGATCTTATCCCCACACCTATAAATCCATGGTCCAATCTTCTTCAGCCATGCTGGCATTTCCACCCATCTAGTTTCGGTCAGAGGTGCGTAGACAAAAGATGACCTGGGGCTTCTATAAAAGAATGAAAACAACACATTCCACCATTCTACTCCTTTCTATTCCCCCCTTCCAACTACTACACTAATGAAACAGCATAGTGAAATAATAGAAAGTGTGGTAGGCCAAAGATTCTAAAAGGAACATAACTATAGGCCTGGCAAAAATTTTCTTTAACAGTTGCCTAATGAAAACACCTTAGGGTGAGTTGTACTTATAAAGGAGAATATTTGTAGCTCAAGGTTGAAATGAGGGGCCCTGGGTGGTCTTTGAGCTTTTTTTTTTTAACAGACATTTCATTACCAATCTAGATTACATCATCAGTGCTAACAAGGGAGTGGTGTTTTCAAACTGATGATGTTACCTAGTTTGGTAATGAAATGTTTGCACGAAAACAGTCAAGCTCAAAGACCACCAAGGACCCAACCCCCCCAAGTTGTACTTCCCTCAGCAAGGAATTTCATAACTGGGGTGCTTTCCTTAAGCTGGCCCTGCTGTTATAGTATAGTCTTCATTGTCATTGTACAAAATAAATACAACAAAATTGGTTGTTATGAACCAAAATGGACTTTTGGGGGGGGTTCAAGCAGTTGATTTTAATGCTGGGATGTGGGGTTTAGATGGAATTGAGGGAAGCAGTCTTTTTAAATGTTTAAATCGGGGCAGGTTAAATCGGGGCCCATAGGTCATAGGCAGAAATTTAATGCTCCATGACTGGCGTTTATCCTTCAAGACTGGTGTTGCCCTCTGCAGCTTAACTGAGGTCTACACTAGTTGCAGTTTCTAGACAGTTTCTAAATTTAGCTCTACATAGAATGTGCTGCACAAAGTTATTTAGACATTGACCACAGAGGCTTCCCAGTTCACTTAAAGGTGCCAGTAGTGCATCAGTCAAAGGTGGGCATGGCTCCTCTTTGTGGCTGGTTGGCTGGGCTTGTAGCAATACTGTATTGGTAGTCCTTGGCTTATGATGGTCCTATTGCTATTGCTATCTGTATTTGGCTTGGGACCCTGGGGCTCTGGTGGCTATAAAGCCCTGTAAAGCAATATATAAGTCTTAAGTGCTATTGCTATTGCTATTAATGACTGCAATGATTCACTTCACTGTGGCAAGAAAAGTCATACAATGGGACAAAATTCACTTAACTGTCTCGCTTAGCAACAGAAATTTTGGGCTGAATTGTCGTAAGTCAAGGATTACCTGTACATCCTGTTCTTATCTCATCCAGAATAGGCCACTGTCCCAATTCCCAAGCCCGAGAACAACCTGTGCTCAATACATTTAATCGTTTCTGGATAGATTTTGAATTCCTTGGCTCTCATTCAGCCTGCAACTGTCTCCAGGCAATTGTCAAGCACCTACACATTCCAGTAGGAAAGAGAGATAATGTAATCCACATACTGATGACACAGCAGTGCAGATCACTGGATCACCACGCTTGCTGACTTAATATAAACAGGAAAGAGAGAGGAAGGATAGAATTCTGTGGAATTCCACAAGGCAAAAAAACCCCAGAAGTTGAACAGAAATCTCCCAGTAACCGTGGCAGGTTTGCAGACAGGAATGAAACGAACATCAGAAAAACAGAGCTGGAAGGGACCTTGGAGGTCTTCTAGTCCAGCGGTCACCAACTGGTGGTCCATAAGAAAATTTTGGTGTTCCACAGAAAAGTTATTTGCATTTTTTATATCACACTAAATCAGGGGTCCTCAAACTATGAACCCTGGGCTGAATACGTGCAATGAACGCTTGTGTTGCTGCAGAGAGTCTCTCCTTCGGGGTCTTTTTGTGCGGGTCGGAGGGGGGCAGAAATTCCAACTTGGGGTCTGCTTATCCTCCTGGTGGGGGGCTTTGGGCGAAGGCTGGAGGGAAGCAACACTGGTGGCGAAGAGCCGGAGGCCTTGTTCCAGTAATACTGCATCATAATCTGGAACTGGCAGACTCTCTCAGCCTGCTGAGCCTCTGGGCGCCGGTACTGGTGCTTCTGCTGAGCCTCCTTCTTGGTCAGATCCAATTTGAACTGAGCTGTTTTGCCAACTCTTTCTCTTGGTGGCTGCTTAGCTGCAGCAACTGCTTCCTGTTGGGGCCCTTAGGAGCTGGGTTGGGCAGGCAAGAAGTGCTGAGTAGAGGCTGGAAAGGCACCCCTCGACATGAGTAAAATTGAGTTGGCCATGTCCACCCAGTCACATGACCACCTTTATGGTCCCTGAGGTGCAAAAGGTTGGTGACCCCTGTTCTAGTTCAACCCCCCCCCTCCACAAATGAGACCACTGCATTGGTTTCCCTGCAACCCCACCCTCCAAACTCAGCGATTTCATTAATAGAACTAGGATAATCAAAAGAAACACTCCCTGTCTTTCTCCAACTAAAATTCACCAGTTAAGATGATCAAAGATGTTTGCGTGCTAAGTCCAGATTTGAAACAAGACTGGCTGAAGAATAGGCTTCTTACTACAGGGAGTCCTGGATTTACAACCATTGGTTTAGTGACCATTCAAAGTTAACGATGACAATGGAAACAGTTACTTATGACAACTGTTGCAGCATCCCCAGGGCCATGTGATCAAAACTCAGATGCTTCATCAGCTTGGATTTGACAAAGAAAATGTTTATGATGAATTGAGACAGTTCGGAGGTTCGAATCCCTAGCACCGCGTAACGCAGTGAGCTCCCGTTACTTGTTCCAACTTCTAAAAAACCTAGCAGTTCGAAAGCATGTAAAAAATGCAAGTAGAAAAATAGGGACCACCTTTGGTGGGAAGGTAACAGTGTTCCGTGCGTCTTCAGTGTTTAGTCATGCCGGCCACATGACCACGGAGACGTCTTCGGACAGCGCTGGCTCTTCGGCTTTGAAACGGAGATGAGCACCGCCCCCTAGAATCGGGAACGACTAGCACATATGAGCGAGGGGAACCTTTACCTAGTATGATTTACCTTGATCGTTTATTTGGTATCCTATGACTATCACAAAGTGTTATATCTTATGATTCTTGATGAATGTATTTTTTTTATGTACACTGAGAGCTTATGCACCGAACACAAATTCCTTGTGTGTCCAATCACATTCGGCCAGTAAAGAATTCTTATTCTTATTTCCTGGACTCGATGCAGTGATGGGTCTTTCTTAAATTAGTATTGTATCAACATGGAGCATACCTTGACTTTTTGGTTGGTTTGTTTGGATTTCACCATTAAGTGACTGGTTGTGGGAGGCCAGTTTACACCTTTGCCATGATCTGCTGAAGTTTGATCATACAACAGGTGCCTCCCTCTCTGTGCGGGTGGGTAACCCATTAAGATAGTCCACCCAGAGATTTAGGTAATCTGATGGGATTCTTAAACGCCGTGGGAAAGTTTTCATGTAAGGTTGCAGTCTTGGTGACCTGTGGAATAAAGCAAGAAAAGGGCCCATTAAGGTGCTTTTCTGAGGAATGTTTTGCATTCACATTCTTAGCGTGCGAGTGATGTAAGAGTTAGCCAGAAAACACTGGACCTGCTTCAGAATGTATAATCATTTCCCTGTCTTTAAGAAAATATTTCTCCCGAGGCGCACACATTCATCTTCTTAGTCTAGGTTCTTTTTTTTTGGCTATTAATGTATAATCTACAATTGTTCACCCCGTTTTCACTGTGAAACAGAAATCCCTTGCCTTTAATTTTTAATTTTCAGATCAGTATACCTTGCTTTAGCATACCGTCTGTCTTATTTCAATCAAATCATTTAGGATCTCTTCCAAGTACAATGCATCGTCGAAAAATTGTATAATTCAAGCCCTTAACACGATTGTGCACTTTCTTTAAAGCAACGGGGATAAAATAAACTTTATTTGCTCACATCCGTAAGCTTCTCAGTGAGCCAGGTGCAACATTTGGATTGAAAAGGCCTCGCGCCCTCACTTCTCTGAGCCAGATTTAGAGCCCCTGTTCATTTCCTCAAGACCAACAAGATCAAATCCAGCCCGGGTAACCAAACCAGGGCACGGATCACTCAACTCCGTAGGACCTGCCTCAAGGCCAGAGTCTCAATCGGGAAGGAATCTGAGTGACTTTATCCGCGAGGTGTCTAACATATTTCTCACCATTTCAGTGGCTCCCAATTTGTTTCAGGTACAATTCAAGGTGCTGGCTGTTCAATATAAAGCCCTAGAGGAGAATATTTGTAGCTCAGGGTTGAACTGTGAGGCCCCTTGATGGTCTTTGAGCTTGCTGGTTTTCTTGCAGACGTTTCATTGCCCAACTAAGTAATATCACCAGTGCTATAGGGAGTGCCATATTTATTTTATATAAGTAGAGAGCAAACCCCACTCCCTTCTAGCACTGATGAGGTTACCTAGTCTCCTCGTGATTGGCCCAAAGTCACCATCTGGCTTTCATGGCGAAGACGGAATTAGAACTCATCATTGGAACTCACAATTCTAGGCTGCATAAACAGAGTGATAGAAGAAGATCCTGTGCAGTGTTAATACCACTTTCTAAGGCCTTTGTAAGGCCACACTTGGAATACTGCATCCAGTTTTGGTCGCCATGATGTAATAAAGATGCTGAGACTCTAGAAAGAGTGCAGAGAAGAGCAACAAAGAGGATTAGGGGACTGGAGACTAAAACATATGAAGAACGGTTGCAGGAACTGAGTTTGTCCAGTTTAATGAAAAGAAGGACTGGGGAGACATGATAGCAGCGTTCCAATATCTCAGGGGCTTCCACAAAGAAGAGGGCCTGAGCAAAGCACCTGAGGGTAGGACAAGAAGCAATGAGTGGAAACTAATCAAGGAGAGAAGCAACCTAGAACTAAGGAGAAATTTCCTGACAGTGAGAACAAACAAAGTGGAACAACTTACCTCCAGAAGTTGTGAATTTTCCAACACTGGAAGTTTTAAAGAAGATGTTGGATAGCCATTTATCTGAAGTGGTGCAGGGTTTCCTGCCTGAGCAGAGGATTGGACTAGAAGACCTCCAAGGTCCCTTCCAACTCTGTTATTCTATATTCTATTTCCTGGTGATTGGCCCGGAGTTATCCAGCCAGATTTCATGACTGAAGTGGGACTAGAACTCACCTTCTCCTGGTGATTAGCCCAGAGTCACCCAGCCAGCTTTGATGGCTAAGGTGGGACTTGAACTCTCCATGTCTCCTGTTTTCTAGCTTGGTGCTTTAACCACTAGACCCAACTGGCTCTTCATACTAAGCCTTTGTTAGCCACCCCAGAGTACTATTAATGGGATGAGGAGTGGCCACATAAAACAAAATAAGTAAAACGATAATGGTTTTTTTTTGTTGAGAATCTTGAATATTGCTATTGGAATTTACATTAACAGCCAGATGACAGTAAATGGGGCTCGGTCTATTTTTAAAATGATTTTGAACATATTTTTGACCAGTTCTTCTGTGTTCAGGTAAAAAAAAATGTGTTCAGCAACTTTTCCACTATATCTGTGTGAAGTGTTCTAACTAGTGAAATGTATCTTTCTTAACATTGGTTAATATACTTTCAGAGACCATCCTTTTATTATTAGGTTCTCCTTCATTTATGGGGAAAAAAATGAACTCTGACTTCAGAGCATCCTGTAGTGTTGACTTCAGTACATTGTTCTTGTTTTTATTTTATTTTAAATTACCATGTGGTATACCAGAATATTGTTTCCATTCTTGATATATTTTAATGAGTTTCTGTGTCAGATGTTCAGAAGGATTAATTTCTAGCTGTTGTTATGGAACATGATTCTTATATAACATACTGTTTTAGTACACATACATTTTAATGAGGGACAATAAGTCCTTGTCCTGAAATTGCCAGTAATCAGTAGCTCTTTATTGAAGTTCAGTTTTCCTTCTAATACAAATAGGACATTCAGTTATTAATCCCTGAGAACCTTTTGTATTAGTTTCGGATCTTGTCAGAGTTAAGCGATTATCGATAATATTAAACCATAATTTAGAGTTAAAAACTAGTAGACACTAGTCTTCTTATCCTATTCTTTCCTTGCCTAATATTAAAAAAATGGTTCAATCTCTTTTTTTTGTCTGAAATTTAGAAAGTTGCATAAATAATGATTTGTTGCTCACAAATTATAGTTGCATTTGCAGATAAACTCAGACTGATTTAAAAACAATCCGAATGTTCACGAAAGGATTAAATAGAGTGAGTCACGTTTAAAATTTTTGGGACCAGGGGAAGTGACATCTCTAATAGATGGGACAAATTATCCTAAGTAGTCCTTGACTTCCCAACATTCATTTAGTGACCATTTAAAATTACAATGTCACTGAAAAAAAAACATCCTTACGGCAAGTCCTTGCACTTGCAACTGGTCCTACCACTTATGACCATTACAGCATCCTGATAGTCACGTGATCCCAATTTGGGCATTTACAGCATGTATAGCTAATCCACAACTTAACAACAGTTCATTTAGTGATTGGTTTGAAGTTACAACGGCACTAAAAAAAAAGTGACTTAACGGCCATTTTTCACACTTGCAACCGTTGCAGCAATGGTCACATGATCAAAAATCAGAGACTTGGCAACTGACTCCTATTTATGACGGTTGCAGTGTTCTGAAGTCACGTGATCACCACTTGCGACCTTCTGGCAAGCAGAGTCAAGAGGGAAGCCCGATTCCCTTAACAACCATGTTCCTAACTTAACAATTTCAGTGGTTCACTTAACAACCGTAGCAGGAAAATTAGTAAAATAAGGCAAAACTCACTTTAACAACTGTCTCAATTAGCAACAGAAAGTTTGGGCTCGTTGTGTTTGTAAGTCAGGGACTACCTGTCCCAACATTTGCAGGTCTCTAATTCTCTTAAACGGCTTGTGAAAAGTGGCGATGGGACCTACATTATTATCAAACTCTGTTCAATTTTCGAGGCAATGACGTTAGTCAAAGAGAGAACTGGCTCTACACCCAGTATCTTTTGCAATCACGTAATTATACTGACATTTTTATCCTGTCCTCTTTTGCAGCCTTAGTAATGTTACTCCTTTGTATAAATATTCTAAAAGGGAACGTTCACTCTTAAGCCTCTCTCCGGTGCTCAACTTTAGCTGCTGAAAGCCATTTTAATAAGAATTGTGTGCAGCCCTTTGGGGAAAATACCATTTGGCATGCCTCCAAAAATAGATATTTCGGTGAGACAGTCCGGAGGAAGTTTTCATTGGAGAGAACCATCATGATTCCATCAGCAGTCTTTGGATATACGATCCGAGGTTAAGGATTGCTGCTCTAATGTGAGATATTTTTTTCTTTTCTTCTGTCGTTCTAACCTCTAGTTATTCTGAGTCCATTTGGATTAAATGGTACACTCACGGGGCAGTCGTTCAAGCTGTCGGACTCCGCTACGAAGAAGCTGATTGGCGAATGGAAGCAGTTCTATCCAATCACGTCCAACTTGAAAGAGGGACTGGAAGAAAAGCAGGAGGAGATGGATTGGGAAGATGACTCTCTAGCTGCTGTGGAGGTCCTTGTTGGTATGGCCTTTTAAAAATGTTTCCCCAAAAATGAATGTGTATTTGAATACCGTGTTTCCCCGAAAATACAACCTACCCCGAAAGCAAGTCCTAGCTTGATTTTTTACACTTCTTCCCAAAATAAGCCATGCCCCCCCCAAATAAGCCCTAATTAAGACCCCTCCCCACTCCAGGGTGCACGAGTAAAATTTAAGCTAGGGCGCAGATGGGTTGTGTGTGGAGTTGCCCTACTACTTACCTTTGGAGAGTTGCAGCCAGGCCTCTCAAACCCCCGATACCTGCCTTGCCGACCCATTTCTTTTGCAGCCAGCAAGGCTTTCCTAAAGGCCTCTGCAGTCGATAACAAAGCCCTGGATCGATCTGGAGCTCTGTTATCGGCTACAGAGGCCTTCAGGAAAGCCTTGCTGGCCTCAGACGAAGTTGCTGAAGGCCTCCTACAGCGAAGAGGAGATCGGGGACGATGCGCGCAAGTGAGTTGAGTCGGTGGATGATGACATTCTCCCCCCCCCCCCAATAAAAAAGACGGTGTCTTTTTTGGCAGCAAAAAAAAAAGACAGGGTCTTATTTTCAGGGAAACATGATAGTATCCTATAGTCCTAAACTTACAACAGTTCTTTAGTGACTGTTTGACGTTACAACGGAACTGAAGAATTACTTTATAACCTTTTTTCGCAATTACAACTGCTTGTAGCATCCCGATGATCATGTGATCAAAATCCAGGGGCTTGGCAACTGACTCATATTTATGACGGTTGCAGTGTCCTGAGGTCACACAATCCCCGAGGGCGGCCTTCCGACAAGCAAAGTCAGTGCAGAAGGCAGATTCACTCCCCCACCTTGTTACTAACTTAACAACTGCAGGTTGATTCACTTAACAACTGTGGCTACAAAGGTCGTTAAATGGGGCAAAACCCACTCCACAAATGTCTCGCTTAGCAAGGGAAAGTTTGGGCTCAATTGTGGTTGTAGGTTGAGGACTTAACCTGTAGTTATAAAACAATGAACATCATTTCAGGATGGTTTATAGAAGCATCAAATGTCCTTCCACGGGTTAGCAAATTATCGTAGTCTGCGTTTGCGAAAGTTAATGATGCTTAAGGTCAATGGGGATTTTTGCAGCAATTAAGTTGGTTAAGAAGCAAGGGTGTTGATTCAGAAATATGCTTCTCAGTACATGTAATCCTCTGCCTACGATTGCAATGGAGCTTTCCCATAATGGGTGTTAAGTCATGACAGCTATAAAGCCGATTATAATCAAACAACTGGATCCAATTTTATGGCTTTTTCGTGGCCTTCGTTAGATGAATGCAGTGATCGTAAAGTGAACCGCCTCAGTCATAAAGTAAATCCATTGTTTCCCATGTGGCGTTTTTGCTGAAAACTGGAAGAAAATGCCAACCATGGGGCACCGAGGGGCCGTTGCTACTGCCATCAGAATTTTGGAACCGGGTTTTGGGGGTCTATTCTAACTATAAATGGTCGCTAAGTGGCCAGTCATAAGTCAAGGACTACCTGTAATTTCAACAGAGGAGTTACAGAGGTCTATTCAGAAAAGCACAGGAGTTTTCCATTTAAAAAAATATCAATTACATATTCCTGTATTCTGAAGCAGAAACCTTCTTGTAAATAGCTGTTGGGAGACTCGCAATCCATCATGGCAGCCTTGTTGTGAGGACACACAACATGCTGTTACCTACCTACCTCTTCTCTGGAGCTATCTTAGTTAAGAATTGTGTCATAAACACACTGATTTAAGAGCTGTTAATTGCCTACTGAAAATAGCAGTTATTTTGTCCCTGCCTGCTTACTTGCATGGATATATAATTCATGAAAGCTTGTGCAATAATAAATTAATTACACACCACATTACTCTTTGTTGTATAAATAAATCCCTGGGCTCTGAGATTATATTATGTTTTTAATTTTAACTGGAATTAGAATTGCTTTAAAGGTAGTATTAGGAGAACTTAAAGGCTTTGCCAGGAAAGAGCACAATAAGAATGAGGCGCAAACTGTAAAATAGAAAGCAATATAATAGATTTCTGCAAATTAAGGTAGGTCTAAAATAGCCATTCAGACAAGTCGTTTAGGAAGGGAACTGGATGTTGGTTGAGTCTAGTTATGTAATGTAAAACAAACTGTTCACACAGACCAGTGATGGCGAACCTTTTAGGCACAAGGTGCCCAAACCAGAAAACACACGCATGCATGCACCAGAAACCCGACTACCAGCTGGCCATTGCTCATGTGTGCCTCACTTCTGGCATGCATGCCACCGGTTCGGCATCATGGATATAGACGATTCAAAATTTTGTTTGCTAATATAAATATAGGAAGAAGGATCAACTCTAAAAGACGATCAGTATTTTAATTTCATTTTTACAGTTAAACATCATTATTTAATCCTAATTTTGGCTATTTGATTTCACCATTAGGACAATAAAAAATTGTTTTGTTCATTGGCACTTTCAGAAAAAACACATTGTTGGAAATTTAAGACCGCAAGACTTATTAAAATTTAGATATACAGGTACGCCTTGCGTTACCACCTCAGTTGAGGCCAAACTTTCCATTGGTAAGCAAGGCAGTGATTAAGTGAGTTCTATCCAATTTAACAACACACACACACCCCGCCCCCGGTGATGACATTGTGGTCCCACTCAGGAGTCCACGGACCACAAGTTGAGAATCACTGGTATGTAGCATATTGCTTTGCAGTATATTTGTTTACAGTCTGAGTAAACAAAACCATATTTAGCACATACAGGTAAGCCTCAACTTACAACTACTCATTTAGGGAAGGTTTGAAGTTACAATGACTCTGAAAAAAGGGAGTTGTGACCATTTTTCACATTTACGACCATTGCTGCATCCCCACGGTCACATGATCAAAATTCAGACGCTTGGCAACTGGCATGTATTTACGACGGTCGCAGTTTCCCGGGGTCACGCGATCTCCTTTTGTGATCTTCCGACAAGCAAAGTCAAAAGGGGAGGGGGGAATCTAGATTCACTTAATAACCGTGTTACTAACTTAACCACTACAGCGATTCACTTAAGAACAGTTGTGGCAAAAAAGGTGGTAACTTTCCTATTCGGCAACAGAAATCTTCCATTCAATTGTTGGTTGTAAGTCAAGGACTTCCTGAATTAGGTAAAGATTCCCCTCGTACATACATACTAGTTGTTCACAACTCTAGGGGGCAGTGCTCATCTCTGTTTCAAAGCCGAAGAGCCAGCGCTGTCCAAAAACATCTCCGTTGTCATGTCGCCAGCATTACAAAACATCGAAGGCGCACGGAACGCTGTTCCCTTCCCACCAAAGCTGGTCCCTATTTTTCTACTTGCATTTTTTATGTGCTTTCTAACTGCTAGGTTGGTAGAAGCTGGGACAAGTAACGGGAGCTCACTCCGTTACGCGGTGCTAGGGATTCGAACCGCCAACCTACCTATGTTTCTGATCGACAAGCTCAGCGTCTTAGCTACTGAGCCGCCGCATCCCTTTTTGTATTAGGTTCGAAAGGTCCAAGTAGAAATAATTTTAAAAAACACCAAAAGCTTGGATTTTAGATTTTGACAGTCGTTTTGCCCCCCAATCTTGTTTCAATTTAGTTTCTGAACGTTTCATTCCCAGACTAGGTAACGTCATCAGCTGGTCTCATTCTATTCTCCTTAGCTTATAAATGTCTTGTGTGGTCCGTTGGTCGTTTGGTTGGTGGTTGATTTGGAGCTCTATTTAAATTCTGAGCAGCTGATTTCTAAATAGAGTCAAACATTCACTCTTTTAAGGTTCTTGGGAGTGGAACATTATCCAGGAGAAGTTGAACCCTTTATAGCTTTCTGAGTTTGCAAAGGGGGGGGGGCATGATAGAAACAGGATGTAAGTAATTTAAGGAAGTCCTCGTTTAGCTTTGATTAACTATCAAGATGCACTTGTCTGAAGTCTTGCCTCGAATAATCTTCCCGCTCTTTGGATGTCAGGAACAGTCGTCACCCACACCGGGCTTGCTTGGCACAATGCGACTTTTCAAATAAAAAAGATGACATTGAGATGGATTAAAATTTAAGTAGCTTGGCATAGGAGAGTGGCATTATTGTGGACCCAAACGTAGAGTAGGATTTACGGCCCAGATGTCAAAAAAAAAAAAGTTTTATAGCTTTGTTGGAGGAACAGAAAAAGGCAGATAAATTACATTGCGTCACTGACAAGGAGCATGCTTTTAGCCTAGCTGCTGCTCTGTGGGTAATCCAGACAGAGACAAAATGAGAGAGTTCCTCAAGGATTTCGATGTGGGAACAGAGGTAGTTTCAGGTTTCACAGCTGAAGAAAACCGTACACCATGCATTACTGAACTTAAATGGAGACGCCAGTAATTTTAATTTTCCAAACCGCTCCTGGGCTTTCTATGATTCTAAGGAAAGAAAAAAAATGTCTAAAGTCCCTTATCCCACAGCTTGTAGTTAATAGCGCACATGGGTGCAATGTTGTTGTACATTTTTTGAAGTGGAAAGCAAGAAGCCAGAGCTGGGGGTGGGGTAGGGAGGATGCGATTTTACTGTGAGGACACTGTCCTTGTGCAGGTTCCTCTGTTGTCTGATTAGTCTAAAATGTATATTTGGTTCATGTGATCTAAGCCAAGTCTCACTCTGCTTTGGCTGAAACTAGGAGTGATATCTAGAGAATGAACACCCAATGTAATTTCCTGCAATTGCAGGGAAACACCCAGAATCTTGTAGTATGTCGCTTTAAATACAGCTTTAAAAAAAAAAAAAAGTCCCTAACTTCCTCCCAAATCCCAGGAAACCCCTCACCCAAGTATATAACAAAATTGAGTACTGTATGTATTTATTTTCTGGATTCCCCCCATCCCCCCCCCGGCTGTGAACCGCTTAAGAGAGGGCTGTGAAGCACTGTGAAGCGGTATATAAGTCTTAAGTGCTAGTGCTATTATAATTTTAGAATTGTAAGCTGCCCAGAATCATCACAGCCGCCCTGAGTCTCTTTGAGAGTGGGCGGCATACA